CCACCACCACCACCACCACCAGCACCACCCGACCCTGCCTCAGCTTTCTAAGTACTGTGTTCACAAGTGTGAGCTACTTATCCTATCCTTAAAATGAGTTAGTTTTGACACCAAATTAGCTTCATGCTCATGTTTTGGTTTTATTTTATTTTATTTTAGTCTTTTGAGACAAGGTCTCCCTATTATGTAGACCAGGCTGTCCTGGGATTTACAGCGATCCGCCTGCCTCTGTCTCCGAAGTGCTGGGATTAAAGGCGTGCCCCACCACGCCTGGCTCCTTTTCTTTCTTTTTATTTATTTATTTTTTTAAGATTTGCTTCTATTATTTTTAATTATGGGGTAGGGGAAGGCAGTGTGCAGGTGAGTACAAGTGTTTGATCCCGTGGAAATGAAGTTGCATATGTCTGTGAGCTACCTGGCGTGGGTGCTGAGAACCAAACTTGTACCCTCTGGAAGAGCAGCAAGTGTTCGGAACAGCTAAGCCACCGCGTCAGGTCAGTCCGCCCTTCGTTTTAGTTTATTGTGGTACTGGGGCTAGAACCTGGGGTCTTACAGAACCCGAGCAGGGGCAGGTACTGTATACAGCTGAGACCCCTCCACTTCCTCTAGGTTTTTGTTTTTATTTTCTTCCATTTCTTGATATACAGTCTCATCCAACTCGGGCTGGCCTCAGATTTGCTACGTCACCAAGGATGACCTAAAACTCATGATCCTCCTGCCTCTACCTCTCAAGTACTAGGATTACAGACATGGGGCACCACACCTGTTTTTGTGTCCTGTTGGGATTAAACCTAGGGCCTCCTGCATACTAGGCAAGCGCTCTACCGACTGACCTACTATGCCCCCAGCCGCTCGGCACTTTAATGACCACATTTAAGAAGAAAATGAGCTACACCAGGCATAGTGACTCACACCCTTAACCCAGCACTTAGGAGGTAGAGGCATGCTGATCTCTGTGAGTTCAAGGCCAGCCTGGTCTACAGAGTGAGTTCCAGGACAGCCAAGGCTACATAGTGAGACCCAGTGTAAAAAATAAAACAACAACAACAACAAACAAACAAACAAAAACAAAAGAAGGAGGGGGAGGGCAAAGAGATTTAGAGACTCTGGGAAGCTAAAATGGTCTGGAAATCATGATGCGAGTTCTCCATGTTCAGATCAGCCTGAAAAAAAAAAAGGCAAGACCAGCAGGCAGGAATGTCTGGTTGCCAGGAAGCAACAGGGGATTTAGTCTGCGTAGTTTCAGAAAAGAGGACTGTGGAAGAAGTGACAAGTAGGCACAATGCTCCACAAAGAAGGGGCCAGACCCCCTTTGTTATTATTCCTTATGTGTGCGTGTCTGTCTGTGTGTATGGCGTATAAGTGTATTGTGTATACATGTGTGTTTGGAGGGCGGGGGAGTGCCTGATGTGTGTGTACTATGATGAGTGTATTGGTGTATATATGTGCTTGTGTGTATGATGTGTCTGTGTGTGAACGTATGTGCATGTATGTGTACACGTATGTATGTATGATATACGAGTGTGTGTTGAGTGGGTGCCACAGCGTGCTTGTGAAGGTAAAGAGGACAACATATGGGAGTCAGTTCTCTCCTCCCATTGGTCCCGGGGACTGAACTCAGGTCCTTAGACTTACACAACAGGTGTGTTTTACTCTATGAACTATTTTTCTGGCCCCTTAGCATACATTTGAGCAAAGCCAGAGACAACCTCTCTACACAACTGAGGGAATTGGCTGATGCTCACGTGGTCTGGTTTTTGTGAACTGAAGACTTTAACAATACTGCAAGCCATTCACAGGACTTACTAGACCAATGGGCGGTAAGGAAACCCAAGCTGGAGATACTGATAAACATTAGAAAACATCATAAAGAATCTCAAAGTCACCAGCTTTTTCATCTAGACTATTCTCCCTGAGCCTCGGGCTCTCAGTAGGGATGGGACAGTGATGATGATGAAGGAAATAAGTCCCCTTTTCCTGTTGTATATCATCTCCAGTGTCCTTTGGGTCTTGAGAACTAAGTCCTTAGTTAATTTTCCGAGAATTAGATCACAGATTGGGGGGGGGGGGACGGTTTGCTACTTTCATATTTTCTTGTCACGGGGGTCTCTTCCTTTTGCATTTCTGTCTCTCCTTTTCACTCTCTTAGCCTTCTCTCCTGTCCTGTCCTTTTTTCCCTTTCTCCCTCCCTCTCTCTCCTTCCCCTCCCCTCTCCACTTCACCACACACAGAAATCCCTTTTGAAAGGGGCTTTTTTTCCAATTCAGTGAAGTAAAGTCTTTGCCCCTTTGTGGGGAAGGCTCATTAACATTCCCACAGCAGCATCCCTTCAAGGATTCTACTTTTGTAACTCTGTAGGGAGGTCAAGAGGCCACAATGCAGAGGTAAAAAGAAAAAAAAAAGTGTGGTGAAGAGGAGGAGGTGGAAGAATGGAGCGGAGGGAAGGAGCCCTTCCTTTCAAAATAAAGCCAGTCAGAAGAGGGGAAAAAGAGGAAAAAATGAAGATGGCCAAGACTCAGAAAAAAGGCAAATATGGGTCCCCAAGTCTGCCCCCTTACAGGTTACACAGCTGTCTGAGAAAAAGCAGAGTGCTGTGTTCCTGTTCTTCTTTCTCCTCCTCGCAGAGGAGATAAAGGATGGGAAGAGGGAAACAGGACGCAGTCCGCTGCGCTGAAGAACCAGAACCTTTCCCGCCTCAGTGTCCCCATTTCTCGTACATCAGTCCGGTGACAATTGATAATCATTAAAATATGCATTAAACTGTGAGGTGCCGGCGCTTCAAAAATAGAGGATGAGACGGCCACTCGGGATCCTGACCCCAAACATCTGGTAAAATGGTGGAGATTCTGGGAAGTCCAAAAGCCACGAAGAACGAATGGCTTCCCAAACCTCTCCACAGGCTGTGCCTTCCTTGCCCTCCCCAGCGTCCCTTCTATCTATTGTCTTCTTTCCCTTTTTCCGGTACTTGCCAAACGAGCCAGGACTTGTCAAGACAAGAGTGCAAAACCTCGAGCCAGGCTTTGCTGCTCCGAAGAGCCTGCCCACAGAGCTTTGCATCACTAAGCATAAAAAGAAATAATGCTTTTCCCTGTTGATGGCCGTTTCAGACGTTCCCCTGCCTGAGTCCGAAGAGTAAAGGCACACAAGGTTAAAAGAAGGGAATTCAGGCGTATGACTCGAAGATAGGACAGGGCTGGGATATCCTAGACCCAATATTACTCACTCGGGTAAGACGCCATATTATTCATTTTTTTGAAAATTAGGGTGTGGGGGTTTATGCCTATAATCCCAGTACTCTAATAGCTGAGGCAGGAGGACTGCTATGAGTCCCAGGTCAGTCTGGACTATCTGGTGAGTTTCAGGCTAGCCTGGGCTATAGAGTAAAAATAAATAAATAGATAAATAGATAGATAGATAAATAAATAAATAAATAAATAAATAAATAAATAGCCGGGCGATGGTGGCGCACGCCTTTAATCCCAGCACTCGGGAGGCAGAGCCAGGCGGATCTCTGTGAGTTCGAGGCCAGCCTGGGCTACCAAGTGAGTTCCAGGAAAGGCGCAAAGCTACACAGCGAAACACTGTCTCGAAAAACCAAAAAATAAATAAATAAATAAATAAATAAATAAATAAATAAATAAATAAATAAATAAATAGTGTTGCTTTTTTTTTTTTCTGACTAACCATCACTATGTGCAGTCTGTGTTGGCCCTAAACTTACGATAATCCTGTTTCAGCTTCCTGAGTATTTGGAATGCAGGTAGGTAGCAGCATGCCCAGCTGGATAAATGTCTTTTGTGTTCCCCCCCCTCGGTGATGGGGATTAAACCAGAGCCATTCACCATCCTAGGCAAGTGCCCTGCTAGTAAACTGCAGCCCAGCCCACCTGCTAAATTATTAGAGGTCTAATTTTGACACTCACAAGAAAGTCCTTTACACAGAATCCCTCACAGTTATTTTTTTCTTTTTTGGGGGGTGGGGGTGGGGAGGTGGGATTCGAGACGGGGGTTTCTCTGTGGAGCCCTGACTTTCCTAGTACTAGCTCTATAGACCAGGCTGGCCTGGAACTCACAGATACCTCTGCCTCCTGACTGCTGGGATTAAAGGTGTGAGCCGCCACTGCCCAGC